TCTGGCCAATGGATACTGCCTTGCCACCGTATGATCTGCTTGGAGATTACAGAAATGGCACAACTCAAAATCACAAGAGGTGATAGGATAGCTGTCAGAGAATAGCTTATGTCTGGCTCTGAAGATAAAAGTATAGTCCTGTATATCCTATATACCTGCAAAGTGGTCGTCCCAGTTACGGTTGGGGTCGACTCCGTAGCAAGTCCCCCAGATGGACTGGGAGTGGGGACCGGAACGAGTTTTACGCCACATCCGGTCCTGTTGATGACATCATGCAACATGTCATACGTACAGATGGGATACCATACTAGAATTCCCAGAAGAAAGCATCCAAAAGAAATAAAGGCGAAAGCATTGACAGTTTTGGACCCTAGCCTAAACATGAAGGGTGTACGAGTAAATGCAATGTGACTGTAATACTTACGTGAGTCCAGGTGTAGATGTATCCATCCACGTTGGTGACTGGGATGAAGTAGAAGTCCAGGGTGTTCATGAATTCTGTGATCTGGCTGTTGCTTCCATAGCCCTCCAGCAGCTGCATAAGAACGAAATTTCATGTCAAAACATGTACTTGTCTAACAGTTTCTCTCCCTAACAAAATACATGCCTCTAACATGGAAAAACGTGGCGCGATTGATTTTACCACATCGAAAAAGTTGGACCAAAGTTAACGTTCCTTCTATCTTACCGATCTGCAATGTCTTTAGGGATGCCAGACAATACATGTGCTTGCATAAGGCGGTCTGCTATTTTTCTCATTACCAGATCGACGTCAAACAAATACAAATCCTATTCCAGCATTCTGTGTACCATGTTAAACAGTAGTAGAGTCCCAGCCCTGACCAGTACTGGGTGTATGCCAAACCCATACTTACGTATTTGATGTTGAGGAGCAGCGTGGCAGACACGACCCACTCACGGGCGTGGATCTGTCCCTCCAGGAAAATGGCGGGCTTGTTGGTACCGGCAGCCCCTACCTGTGTAAGGAAGTATGAGGTGTGAAACAATAAGCCTACCACATCTTATCTTTTGTTACAGAGACAGAGCTGAGGATAGTAGGGATTTTTAAAAATCCAGAATCCTTTAGATGATAAACCAGGTGTCATCCCTGAAAGGATGCAAAACTGGCTGGCATGCGTGGACTCCTAACTCGTCAAATTCTTAGAATTTTCCAACCTTAACTTGGCATAATATCTATACTACAGGGCTCCGCCCCTGATGCGTCGCCAAAATTTTGTTGTTTTCGTCTGAACGCCAAGTAAGAATCAACAGAGCATGATGGCACTGAACGCGCACCAGGGTGAGATAGGTCGAAGGTTTATGATAAATATCTATTATAAAGGCTCCGCCCCTGATGCGTCGCCAAAATAATTTTTTTCGTCTGACAGTATCAGCGGACCTTGATGGCGTTGATGGCGCGGCCGTGGTGGGAGGTTCCGATGGTGAAGACGGACGTCAGGCTGGGATAGTTCGCCGCGAAGGTCTGCAGCTGCGCATCGATCTGTGGAGAGAACAGGTGATGCGGTCATAAGCGACAGAAAATAAAAAGTAGCTATTCACTCTTTCATGACATGACTATATCACCCCATAAACATTCCAGTAGATGGATCCACATGATATTTGGTAGGTGAGTAAGGGTTGTAGAAACGACGGTCAAGTTCGAAAAATAATAGTGATTGTGCAACGTTACTTTCATTACAGTGGTGGCATGTCTTGTTGACTTATGTCGTCTTAAGAACAATGGATTGTTAAGAAAACATATTTTTATCCACTTTTATTTGTTTTTATGCAGAAGTATGAAGACCACGCCTCATACACGGTACAATACCTACGTCATCAATCGTGTTGTAGTCGTCGAAGTTGAAGCCGGTAGAGCGCACGCGCGATCTCTCCGAGTTGATGTTCTGCTGCAGGTCCTCCACCATGACCTTGAGCATAACAGAACAGTCAGAGGTCAACCACAATTTCACGTAGAAAATTGTTTTACGATCATCAAATAACACATTTGTGACAGTTTCTATTGACAGTTCATAATGCTTTAAATTATTTTACAAAACCAGACGATTTTCTGAGGAACGTTTATTCACTAGTCTGGGTGCCATCCTATTTGTATATCGGGATCGATATACAAATAGGATGGCACCCAGACGGTCCACTAGTTGTAGCCTGCTGCAGACCCAGTGCACGCTAGAGTTGGTCAGCGTGTCGTATCAGGGCCTGAGGTGGCTGTACGTGTGGTATAATCCCTTGTGGGCATGTTGGCCCTGGAGCCGAGGGACTGGTCTGTGTTGGCCCTAGCCTGGAAACAGTATATGGCGCCCAGGCTATTATTTTTGTTGGACAATCAAGTATAAAAATCCCCGTGGAAAATCGGCACCTATGCAGGCGGTTTCGCACGGAAAATGACCGGTGATATGATACACTCCTGACGGCCTACCGTGTACTCCATACCGGTCTTCTCCAGCAGGGTCTTGACCTCCTTCAGCATCTCCCTGGGCACGCGCACATCCACGGGCCGGGACAGGGCGGTCGGGCCCTTCCAGAAGTCAAGCTACAGCAGGAAATAGATGCATTATACTTAACGTTACCCTCTCCAAGAAGGGTATATGTTTTCGGTTGAGCCATGGTGGAGTGGCTGTGGTCTGGGTCTGTATGTATACGTATGTCGACGTCATACCTCGAGAAGCTGTGGGTGGATCTACATGATGTTTGGTAGGTGAGTAGCGGTTGTAGAAACGAAGGTCAAGTTCGAGAATGGTTCAGCTGGCGTTTTTCTACGGTACTGCGGTAGGCTATGTGTCTATGTATGTATGTGTGTGTATTTCTATGTTGACAACATAACTCAAGAAGCTGTGAATGGTTGGGCATTATATTCAGTGGATGGTAGATGGGTAGGCGTCGTAAAGAGGAAGGTCAAGTTTGATCATGTGCAACGAAGAATTTAAGTCAAATATAATATAGTCATCTCAATAAAAAGCTCCTCCTAAGCTTTTAGGAAGGGGTCATAAGGGGTCGCAAAGAGGAAGCTCAAGTTCGATGATGGGCCACGAAGAATTCAAGTCAAGTATAATTCAGTCATTTACATTAAGGGCTTTTCCCAAGGTTTTATGACATTGATGAGGTATTGTAGAATAGTGTCTAACACAAAGAGAACCCACCCTCGCCTCTGCCATCTCCAATGATCTCAGCTCCTTCAGCTGTCCGTCATGTTGGGGATGGATACGCAGAACTTGTTCTCTGTGGAGATACACCATGTATAGGTAAGTACCATATCATAGACTTTGGAGACTTAGAACAAACCTACAAAGAAGTGCCGCAAAGCTATACGCGTCGTATGACATATCAGCGTGCAATGTGCCAATGATGCTTAAAAAAACGATGATTTCGGAAAGCATGTACATGTATATAATTCTACCCCCAGGAGAGACGTTGTACATTCGCTATGAAACAGGGACATGGCGGTCATGACATTTACACATTTTCCCATGTGATTTTGGATTCCGAATTCCAGAGCAGGAAAATCCCCAAAACAGCCCGATGCGGGTTTACAAGGCACAATGCAAATGGCACAAACGTTATCAATCGAGCGTAAAATAAGGCCAACTCAAAGTGTAATGGCCGTATTGGCCGACGGTGAATAATATTGATACAAATGTAACATTAACAGCATGTTCTAAAGAGCCCACCAACAATATAGACATGCATTTCTTTCTTATTCCAAGTTTAAGTTTAACGATCGTGGAATGATTCAAAACACACCAAGCAAAATGTATGTAAGCCTAGTCGACACTATTCCACAACAGTAGTCCGTCTAGTTCTGATGCAGAAGGCATGTTGAGAGGGTCAGAGGACCATATTCATACACTTCTCTTCTCGGAGAACAGAGATAATTGTTAAGAGGAGAAATTTCAGCCATACTTACCCATCGAAGCGCTTGGCGGCAAACGCCACAGCCACCGTCAACAGAAGAAGTAAAGCCCTCATGTCGAGTTTAATCTCCTTCTACACTGTGGTGAAAGGACGTCAGGGGACGAAGTGGTGGTCTCGTGAAGAAAGCAGGTTTTTATAGAAATAATTTTACAACTGTTTGTAAAACCATTTTGGAACAAAAGTACGTCCTCAAACTAGAGTGCCTCTTCTGTAATCCTTAACAATTTTAACGATATCCGGCGGTGGCAATTCAACAAGTCTGGAGAGGCTGTGTAAACGACTTACAAGCAGGAGGCCATTTTTGAACCCTCAAATTATCCTCGTTTCAACGCAATTATATCAGTAATTTATGCAATCAAATCATTCAACTGTAATTTGGGAAGTATCTCACAAATACTACTGTTTCTGTATCTCGAGCATTAGAAGTCCGTTGGTTTTCAAAATTTAACGTTTTTATTCAGCGCAGCTGGAACGGCGACACGTGGAAGAGCTCCTCAACAAACTCAAGTGTATTATTTTATGACCCTCTTCATGTTTTATTGCCCCTCCTTCCTGAGAACTAACCAGGCTGGAGCAAGATTAATATATAAATCATAATTCATAATGATATACCAATAAACGTGATAACACTACATTTTCAGTTGAGCCAGAAATTTTATGTACACTTGACCAATTAGAGCTCCTTGGCATGTGACACTCAGTAAGTGTATGAAGTATTTTATCTGCTAGAGTACATTATGAAACACCGGACATACTCAAGGGTTATTACTGTGTAAGGGTGTACTTGGGTACAAAAATACATTTATAGTAACTGTTGTAATTCTATGTATAAAAGCTGTCATTTCCCCCAAAGTTGTCAATTTTGTCATATCAAGTCCTTTTAATTGGAGTTTATTGGAGTTCAACCTCAGTCTCCTTTTGCTGACCTACCTATAAGTGACAGCGAGACTTCCTAGTGTTGTGTGTGTATTGTGTGTGTGAGTGTTGTGTGTGTGTGTATTGTGTGTGTGTGTGTGAGTGTTGTGTGTGTGTGTGTGAGTGTTGTGTGTGTGTGTATTGTGTGTGTGTGTGTGTGTGTGTGTGAGTGTTGTGTGTGTGTGTATTGTGTGTGTGAGCGTTGTGTGTGTGTGTGTATTGTGTGTGAGTGTTGTGTGTGTGTATTGTGTGGAGTGGGTCTGAGGAGGTTACGTGGATGTCAGAAAGTATGGAAAGCTTTAAGGTCGACTATTTATTCCTACATCCCATGGTAAGTTCTATCCCATCCCATTTGTACACTATTACATGTGTGTGTACTTTAATTCTTCACTGTATGTAGAACTGGAAATCTATGCAAAATGTCAATTGTAAAAATAATCAAAATCATATTCAGTGATACTGCTTAAATAATTATTGTTTATTTTCATCAGACTTTCATTTGTTAGCTCTTTCAAGTTTCGCCTTGCCTTCAATAAAAAGGCAACTTCCATACAGTCCAGACAGTACACTGTAACAAACCTATGCCAACAAAAAATCACCAAACAAATTGCCAACAAAATTTGTCAAGTTCTAGTGTCAAAATCTGTCTAGATACTGCTTGGTCCCTGAAATGAGATTGCTTATTTTTACTTGTTTCATTTCATTGATACTAATAGAGCATATATTGGAACTAAGTTAAGAGTTAAACATAATGCCATGTAGCAGTGTGTATGTACACATGTACATATGTTCCTCTCTTTACATCTGTACATGTACAGATGCCACATCTATAGTTAGGACTGGGACTCTTGGACCAGGTGAAAAAGAATCCCTCTAACACTTCACTTATCAGGGTTTGAAATACTTTTTTCTCAACCTAAGCCAAAATCTAGATTGCTCATCAATATTTCAGGTGTATTTTAGAAGGGCAAACCAGGCCACATGCAAGGTATCCCTCACAAGCTGGCCAAGGCGGGACACAGTGTATTTCAGAGGCCGTAAGCTGGGCCACTGTTAAGTCTAAAAGGTCACTTTGAAGGTATGAAAACAAGATGATGAATTGTGCAATGGGCAATATAGCATCTCCTATAAGCCTTGCACTGAATACATGGACTTGTGTGGCAAGAGTGTGAAAGCAGAGCATATGCACCTTAGTGCACCCAAAATTGGAGCTGTGCACACAATTCTTTTCTGTGGGTGCACCAGTGCACCCAAATACTAGTACTTTCGTATGGTTACATATGTAAAGACTAGTATACAGTATATTCTTGATGTCTAAATGTCAAGAATATACGTCTAAAACTTTCCTGTGGACCCAACTTTTTGGCTGGGTGCGCCAGTGCACCTATTTCCAAAAATGAATTTCGAGCCCTCGAAAGTGAGTACTTCGAGCCTTGTTTGTTAACTCCACTGCCCAAACCCCCTACCCCCCATGTTTCAGCTGGTTTTCCTGAGCCGGACAATGACCAGACTGTTGCGAGCAGGTTTGAGTCTCCACCACCTGCCCAGCCGGTGTTCCTGTCCTACTGCTGCCACCAGCAGGCTGCCGTCACTGGAGAACTTCAGCCCATTCACAAACCCTACCTGCATGGGGGATGGGCACACATGTAAGATAAGGCCACATCAATTTAATTTGTTGCTTAGAAAAATTGAAAGCAACAGGGCAAAATAAAAATAAAAAAACAGGTCTAGGCACCCATTATAGCCCAAAATTCTAAGATATGAGGCATGAAGCCAACACAAAAGGCTGGGTTAATATTCAAACAATGAATTTTCAACTTTTAATCAAACCACTGCATTGATAGATGGAAAAACTGTAACAACTAGGAAGAAAAGGACTTTCTTCAACTGTTGGGGACAAAATATGAGCATTTTTAGTTGATTCAGAAACAGAATCTTTTTTTTTTGTTGCAAATCAGGAAAAAACTGCACTATACCACTTACCACGGGGATTGAGAAGAGCGGTTGGACAGACTTAAAGTTGTCCCCACATTGCCACAGACGTATGTGTCCATCACTGGACCCTGAAAACGACAGACAGTTATTCATATTTCATATTAAAAACAGTATCTTGTTGTATATCTACAGAAGACTGAAGGCTGAATTAACTTCAATTTTGCACGTTGGTTTTTTAATTGCATGTGAATTTTCTGCCGACATGCAATTTTGCATGTAACCAAAAAAAAGTATTTGAGCCCTTTGAATGCACTGAACTTACAGAAACGTGCCATGTACAAAGCTAACTACAACATATGATGAGGTATTGAACCCTCTTCATGGCTACCTCATACTGTTACCTGCACTAAAGCTTATTTTCAACTGCAGTGTCAAAAACAGAAGCACCATTGCAGTTACGTTGGTCAACACTTAAAGATAAGAGTAAGCATCAATTAACTTATCCAAACACTTGCGTATAATTACTTTAAGATGTTTAAGGCCCTTAAGCACCTGAGGAGTTCCCACCTGAGGCAATCAGGTCAGAGTTGGTGAGAGCTGCGACAGCTGACACCCAGCACTCCTGCTGGTCACTGCCTTCTGTGTGGTGAGCTCCTCGTACTGACACCAGGGGTTTCTTCTTCATCAGTCCCCACACACTCACATTCCTGTAATAGAGTTTGATAGATAGAAAGGCATCAGTTGCCAGCTGCTCCAACTCTGTCCTGCAACTTGTTACATAATGTAACCCAACACCACATGGTGACAGGCAACTGGTCCAGGTCCTTGACCTTACGTGTTTGGTAAAGAAGAAGAAACAGAAAAAACAATATGTTCTACTTCTGTGAAGGTAAACATAAATATAAGGTACAATGTTTTAGTTTTAACTATGCTGGTAAATGATAGTGCTAACTAAAAAATCATTCCTTTGTCTTTTGTAAATCATTTATAAAAGGTGTTTTTGAAATAATAAATAATAAAATGCACAAAAAAAGTACAAACCCATTGTCATCCCCTGACACGATGTGCTGTTCGTTGATGAAGGCCACACAGTCTATGGAACCTCTGCAGGAACAAACAGTTACGGGCATTGTTACATGGAATGAAAAAATATGGCTTTTAGATGTACTGGTATCATTTGAAGCAGCATCAGGAAGGACAAAATCTTTCTAAAAGTCCTGTCTTCATGATCAACAACTAAAGAAATGGTTGATCCATCGAAGAAGAGGAACTCAGCAGCCAATGAAATCTCTTGTAACAAAACCCCTGAGACCTGATTGGTCAACATCACAGTGACTCATGTCTCATTTACAGGTGTGGATCAAACATTTTTGTTGTCTCCCATTGCCATCTACATATAATTACCTTCATCAAGAAGGTTATGTGTTAAGTACACCATATACAGGGGTTGGCAATTTTTAACCGGCTATAATTTGGGATGTGGTGCATGTATTTTCATATTTGGTACGTAGGATGGGCTTGGGACTACAAAGGTCAAGGTCATGCAGCTTTGTAGATATTTGACCTCTAGTTCCAGTCTGAGTCTGACTGTGCTGTGTACATGTACAGTTCATGTACCTGTTCTCTCCATGGAACACTAACTGGGACTCCTCTGGGATTTTCCACACCCTGACTGTCCTGTCCCTGCCCCCGGCTGTGACAGCTCGCTCACGGGACAGGCTGTCCAGAGACATGATGGAGTCCTCATGACCAAACCTGGAAAAACAATCAAACAATTTGAACAAAATAAAGCATCATTTGTGATGCAGAAGGACCCCCTCTACCAAAATATTCAGTTAAGCCATTTCTGATAGATGGGTTGAACAAAATCACATTTCGAGGCCTCATTCAATTAAAGAATTGGCTCCTGTGCAGAGTGGTTTAAATATTCACAAGGTATCATAGCCAAAGATCAGAAGTATGGCAGTAGTGTAATAGGCAGGTTCCTCCAACTACCTTCTCTCACTTTATTTTCTCGTCTTTATCATTCTGTTGCACTTATTGGGTGCATAGATGGGCTCAAGATAAAACAAAGAGCACACTTTAAAAAAAGTTTAGCATCATACTATGATTACTACCAACACAGATGAACTTCCATGATAAAGAGCACACTATTATACAGGTAGCAGCTAGCTTAGGTGGTGGTGGTAGAAGAAAATTAAAGATTACACAAGCTTTTTTTTAGCAAAAATGCAGCTGAGATGAGGACAGTGAGGCAGACAAAGGCTTCATGACAACAGATGATCCCAGCTGAAACATGCAGGTATGATAACTGGTATGACTTACAGTGTTTCAACATACGCCATCTCATCCAGACTCCACACCTTCACTGTCTTATCATGGGAGGCACTGAACAGGGTATGAGTACCCTTCCTGAAGGCCAGACCCTGGAAAAGGAAGAGGTCAGAACATTGTGAAATTTTCTCTTCTATTTGTATTACTATTACTCCTCAAACTCATGGGATAGTTCTAGTTACTGGAAAGGTAAGAATTATGGGGTATTAGGTGGAAATGTGGTTAGAATCCATAGATTATTTCTGTCAACACAGAATGACATGAGCCAAAAGTTGCACGAATACATGTATGTCTGTCATCAAACAATTGCTTCTCTTAATGTCCATACCTCAGTACAGTCCTTACAAACATGTATAATCTTTCTCCTGTTCATCTGTATGTGATCACTTCCCAATCCAATAAATACCTAACTACACATCTGGCTTCTTTCTGTTTCCATGCACTAACACTTCTACAGGATGTCCTTAATCAAAGGAGGTAGGTCTATGCAGTACCCCCCTCCCACCCTGATGTGATGAAGTTGTACTCACAGCTACAGCATCCCTGTGTCCTGTGAAGGTGTGAAGTCTGGTCATGCTGACGGGGTCCCAGATGTGGATTACCTTATTCCTGCAACCAGAGGCCTGCATGAACAGGCAGGAATGGGGTAAGAAACGGTTAAACTTCATGTCTTTAGGTTTAGGTTCACGTGAAGATTGTAATGGAAAGGATAGGAAAGGATACTACATGTACATGTAACCTAGACAGACTATCTGGCAAGATAGCATTTATCATACAACAGTATTATACATGGTAGTAGTACTAGTACCTACACAATACACAGAAAGAATCATGTTATTTACCAGAAATTTGTTGTCAGAAGAGATGGCTAAACAGAGCACATGAGCCGTGTGCCCCTGGTGCTTGTCTTCTGTGCCTTTCCTGCCACCAGCAATCACTTTTTCCTTCTTCCCCTCTGCAACATTCCCTGTAGAGAACACCACAAAACAACAGGACTTTCTAGCAAACTATCAATTTGGTATAACATCTGAATATACTGCAGTCTTTTTTTAAATGTACATGTATATGTATAGGTATAAGTACTTATATTTTCCTGACAAGGAGGTCTGTATACCCTACCTGTGCATTTTTTTTTAGAAATTTATTCAATTAAAAAAAATGACTGTATAGCTTCTCTAAATTTGTATAAGACACATTTAATGGTAATACTACAGAAATGTGATTTCTACCTTGGCCATATACATGAACACATTAAAATCCTGTGCATAGCACTATAGCCTCATTAAAGAAGGTTGTATTCATGTATTTAGGATGGTACCCTCTTTACAGTTTTTAAATATTGTGTCTGAGAAGATATCTGCAACAGGCAAAATTTTTATGCAATGTTGAAAAACATCCAACAACTACTGTAATTATGCACAGACACAGTACATTCTGCTGATGTGCTGTATACATGTATTCTGAAGAAAGTTTGTGTTTGTGCTGTGACTTACACTTGATGATGGAGCAGTCCTTGGCACCTGTGTACACATGTTTGCTGTCAGAGGAGATAACCAGACAGGTGAGGGGCAGCTGGTGTCCTCGTAACACCTGGATGTCTGCGGGTGTCGGTGGAATGTACTGTACAACATAACAGGTGCACAGATGTGTAGGTTAGTGGAGTCTCAAACCAAACAGAATAAGAGTAGTCTTCCAGTCAACTGCCTGATTCTAGATCACTAAACCAGGGTTCAAATGCTAATCTTGTCCCTGTGTACAATTTTAATGTGTCATGTTTTGAGCAAGATGAACTCTAACTTAATGTTCACAATCTATTTTGCACAGTGTTTATATGTCACATGAAGCAGATGTTACCAGATTTCCCAACATTCATGATTCTTGTGTCCGAATAAAGTTGGAGTGTGTACGTGAATGTTAGTAGTAATAAGCACAAGATGATTGGTAAGACAGCTTAGCCTGTAAACTCACCTGTGCAGCAACTTTTCTCTGCAGTTTCCCTGCCTGCTCGAGCTGGAAGGGATGACAGGCAAAGGGAAAATTACAACATACTTCTTAAGAGCAAGTAAAAAACTCCTTTCCCTCAATGTCCTATTCTAGAAGGCAGATATTGTCAACAGAAGCATTTGTTATCCACTGACAACATTACAATCTAAAAGGACCACAGATCAGAAATACAAACTGAACTACCGGTATGACAAGTTTCTCACCAGGTCTTCCTGTAGTCTGTGGGAGATCGCATCTCTGTCAATCTCTTCCGAAACCCTCTTGTCAGCTTCTGTGGAGGAATAACAACAAAGTGTCACATCATGATGCATTTCTGTTTTGTATTAACTGTATTTGTTGGATCACTTTGGTTAAGTGATAAAAATTAAGAAAGAAAAAAGAAGTGAATTACCTACCTACCCTATTTTTTCAGGACGGTAAAAGGACACAGCCTTAATCTTCCTAGTTCGCCAGGTTTTAGTTACTAGTACATGTAGTTAACTTGTCTTGTCTCTACTCATATAACATTACATCTTCACCAAACATGTTAAGTGAGCCAGTCAGGCAGGTGCCAGTACTGGCAGTAGTTTTGTTACTACTTACCTTCCTCCTCCAGCTGTGAGAGGTACTGTTTGGTGAGTCTGAGTCGTTTCTCCTGAGCTGTCTCCTCCTCATCTTCTGATGCCACCTGCTCAGCAATGTCTTCAATATCACTGTGGAGACAAAAATTGGACATTCAGATTGCAGTCTTATCCAGGAAAATGTAGTAGTAGGTCACATGGCTGTTACACTGAATGCCTGCCAAGCTGATGTGTTATGCCAAGTAACTGAAAGGCAGTTACTTAATGGTAGCTCTGGGTGCCAGTAACATTACATCACACACAGTTAAAAGTTAAAAAGTTAGAAAGTTTGTTTTCTTACCTTAGGATCTCCTCATCACTAGCTATCTCTTCATTTCCTCCCTTCATCCGTCTCTTCCCAGGTAACCTGCCATTAGTTTTCTTTCCAGCTTTTCCTCCTGAAGGTTTACTTAGTGTCTATGGATAGACCCAACACCATATGCATATCAGTGGTCAATTTTACATATGACAAAATATACAGTGACTGTCATTATGCATATTAATCACAGTTATCAAGAGCATGAATGTGTCTCTGCTCTTTATTTTTCGCTCTAGGCGATATAAAAGTCTACATTTTCAGTCCTTTAAAAAATTAGTGTCCTTTTAACAAAAGACAGAGTTTCTTATTGCATCTCGGAGAGGGAAGCTGGAGAAGCATCGGGGTAAGTGGGGAACTTTATGTTCAGATTAATTATTCATTTTTGCCGTGTTATGCATATTTAACTTGTTTTGCCTCATTTTACATGAGTTATTCTTGGTTCTTACTTTTTGTCAACCATGACTGAACGTGTCTTTGGTTTTTATGTAGTTTATTGTTACCCATGTTCTCTTTGTATTTGAATTGTTTCATATTTCTTGAATAAAATTCTTGAAAAAAAAAGGGTCTCTGCTCAGACTTGTTCCACGCGAGTATAACGTTACATTTCCTCTGTCAATTCTGTTAATGAACCGCAGGAAATTTTATGCCTGCTTCGTATGATCCATGTTAAAATTATAATAATTTAGTATAAGTTATACTACTTTATAACATAATTTAGGTGTAAAAGTCCCCCTACTCTACTCTACTCTACTCTACTCTACTGCCCCCCCTCCCCCATTATGTCAACATGCATGTGCTTGCAGGCTTCCTGTAAAGGACGCAAATTGCAAGTGAAGTCGGGAGAAGATCGATTTCATTAGTTTCAAATAACTGGACAGACATCCTAGACTAAAATCAAAAGCAACGTAGCAGGGCGTATAGGGAGACGAGGATATAACGTTAGAACTTCACAGGTACTTTGGGCCATGTGCGTTCCTGCACAGCAGACGCCGTTCAGATTTCGAGCGCAGAACTACTATCAGTTCGATCTTATCACAAAACCTGCCACATAATCTTATTTGTATGCCTTCTCTGGTGCAGTTCCCACTAAAAGATGGGCTTGAATACGCCTTACCTTTCTCTTTTGCCCAACTTTTGGACCGGAGATCTTCGATTTCGCTGAGTTCCTGATGAAGAACGACATTTTGTCTGGTGCATGTAGGGAAAAGAAAAGCGCCCCCTAGCAGCATTGATTTAAACGACAGACATTATCGCGTTGTTAGGCAAAATGTACATTGCTTGCATGTGCAGTAGTATGTTTGGACTCACTGACCATGAAGGTACAACTTTTATGGACTGACACATTGCCTAGTCACAAATATACAAATGAGTCCGTAACTGGCTACCCTAACACTATGCACATTTCCTTTACATGGATATGCATTGAACGTGAAATATTGGAAACAGTCTCCTTGCACAGACGACAATCGTATTTTTGGTGTAGGATACAAACTATCATCCTGGATCGGAAATCTGCAATCACATGCTGCTTTTGCCTAACTGTGATCCTTTCTGCATTTCGAAACGAAACCGCTAGAGATCGCTACACTATAACCTCTTGATACACCCAGACACTTTGACTGCCCCAAAATTTCATGGAGCAGTATTCTTCAGTATTATTAGTACTCCGTATCAAAGTACACGTTGCAAATTTTATTTTCGAACTAGCACTGGATAGGGCAAAGGGTATTGGACATGGTTGCCACTAAGAGGAAATAAGGACTCTACTAGTATTTGGACTCAGGAAAAGGTAACATTTTAATCAGTCTCAGTTGTCATAAGCAGTCTAATCACTCTACAGTTGACCTTGTCAAAAAAGGAAGGCTAGTACTACAATGGTCAGAATGAAAGTTTTGAACAACTTTGAATAAAATATAAGTAACTACTAGTAATTCATGCCTTACATAAAACCATAAGGTTGCTACAATCAATGCAAACTGGATATGATGAAATTACTCACATTTTTAGTATTACGTTGCCTGAAAAATCAGCTAGGTTTTTGTTTGTTTTAGATATTTGAATCTCCATACATTGCCCCAAAAATTACCATATCCATAAAATAATTGACCATCATCTTTAAACATAGCATTTATGTCTAATGTTAATCCTAACTTTGTTATTACATTTTAACATGTATTTCATCAGTGTTCACAAGTGCTACCGGTATGTAACCAATTGGATTGCATACGTATGGGCCAATGGAAAAATCTAACCAGAATGCAGATTCATGCAAAAAGCATTGTTGCTCTACTAGGGTACAAAAAAAATTAAAATATTGACATAGAAGTTACATGTTTCATTTAAAGGATGAGAGAAGAAAGTTATTTTTTGCGTGAAACTAACTACATGAGCTACAATTCATTTTATTTCTATTACACCACTTGTACATGTAATGTTCCTGGTATGAGAAAGTATGGCTAGTAAAGCTTGGAACATAAGCAGAAAATGCTAATCCTAGATTCTTGACAATGATGTGGAAATCAATAGTACAGATACAGACTTTTCATTAATTCATAACATGAACATCATGGGATAGACAAGCTAAGTAGTATGTAGTGTCCCATGCAAGTCCTTTCAAGCAGAGAGATTAACCTCATTGTTTTGAGGCATCATGAAACTCCTTAATAATACCAAAACCTGTAGTAGAGGATATGTAAAACCTTCAACATAAATGTACAGTAAAAACCTTAACGCACACTGCTGTGTTTATATCATTATCAATATAAAAAATAAGCATTCCTTTGTTTCTGATTCCTATTTTTGCTTGAGCATAAAGTGGGATGGTAAACAGACAAAGTTCAGAAATTTGAACATCAGCCCTGGATATTGTCACCAAAAGTCTACTAGTTGTTTTGTGTTGCACATTACTATACATATGGTACATGTATTACCCTCATGATCTACACTATATGTACTCACAATATACTATTCAGTAAGTGGAGTGTAGGTTATGTGTCTGAACTAAGTTGATCAAGTACAAATGTATACTTAATGGGCTTCTGACACAAATAACCCTGAACCCAGCTAAAACTACAGACTACCACAGCAATGTATAATGTACAGGTGAACTGTTAGTTAGGGATAATCTGTCTCTACTTGATGTGAGTCAGCACATGTCTGTTGAGCTTGTCCTTGCGAGCTGTGGCGTAGGTACACTGCGGGCACTTGTGCGGTTTCTCTCCCGTGTGGGTGGCCATGTGGCGCACCAGCTTGTCCTTGCGTGACGACGCGTACGTGCACTGCGGACACTTGAAGGGCTTCTCCCCACTGTGAGTCCGTAAGTGCCTGACCAGCTTGTCCTTGTGCGGCGTGCCGTAGCCACACTGGGCGCAGGAGTGGACGCAGGGCCGGAGGTTGGGGCGTGCGCGCGGACCCTGGGTGTGCGTCTTGATGTGCCTGATGAGCTTGTCTCGCTGTGGTGAGCTGAAGGAACAGTCCTCACACTTGTAGGGTTTGTCTGCATCTTTCACAGCCTTTGCCTTGTGAGACTTGCTGCCCTTAGCAGAACCCTTTTTGTTGGGACTCGGGCCTTCGGTAGTCTCCACAGGCTTCTGATCCACAGGACTGGCTGACAGATAGTCGCTCTGAGCCGCACCGTACATGTCCTGTCCGCTGTCGTGATGTGTCACCATGGATGCATCCATCCCTGTCCCACCCTGCCCGTCTGCACCTGTGTCATACCTGACACCTGCAGGAGGGGAGGTGTGCATACAGGCTGCACCTGGAGCACCTGGCAGGCCTGAGCTGTGGTGCAGGTTGAGAGGTGAGCTGTACTCACACTGTGGACAGCTGACCTGGCTGGGCCGCAGCTGTAGGGTGGGGCTGGGCTTCATGTGGAGGCAGGGTTTGCCGAGGCCCCTGTTGCCTGCAGGAAGACTGCCTGGTGATTGCATCTGTAATAAAACCACATGGCAAAAATTGAAAAAAAAGTACACCTTCAGTCAAGTCAACATCAAAGCCTTACACAGAATCAAGTGGCTTACTGAGCATTTAAATTCTCCGTATCCAAGTAAGACCCATAAAATTGATAAAGCACAAAAAGCAAAGAAAATAATTTTAATTATTATCAAGATGAAAAATGGAGCAAAGGAACATAAAACTAAAATTAAGTAGGTTCATTTTAGTTAATTGAAAAATATTACTAGTACTGATTTACTGATCTCCACAAACCAACAGCCTACAGTAGCTACTTGGCATTCCAACATTCACAAATTCCTGTGCGCCCCCCCCCCCGCACAAAACAACATCATGCTGATGTGTCCTTTGTGAAAATCATTATTATACAGGACACTAACGCTCTAGTTCCCCACAAAAACAACTCTGAGTGACACTGAGAATGTATTCACCTTCACCGATGGTGACTATGGTTGCGGATGTTTCGATTTCTTGTCCAAAACTGCGGCAAAACTCCTGCCCTGGTCGACAACAACGCAAAACCGCGCAAAACTCTGCATGAGGGCGCGAGCCTGCTGGGGGTCAAAGGTTAGCGTTAGCTCCTTTAGTACCCGATTACTCACGAAGTGTCGCAATACGCCAGATTATCGTGTAGAGCCATTTTAACATTTTTTCGGTGATATTGTCCATAAGGAAGATTTCTTCAAAATAGTGGATATTATGAATACACGAACGCCTATGCCCATTAGAAGTTCAAATGTCTGAGCCCTTTACGAAACAGCTAGTTCGGCAACAATATGTTTCATTCAGACATTGCCAAGTTAGGAGTGAAATGAGTTAGGCAAAAACACAGACATGCCCAGGCAGGGTAAACTACGTCATCAGTCCGGCGGGCAGGCCGCTCAGCTGATTGGTAGATCTGTAGAGACTTCCGGGTTGTGCCCGGACTGGTATCTAGTCTCCCTATTTATAAAAGGTATCGCAAGCAAAGCGATCTCAGTATAACCATCGGTATAACGACACACCTTCACGACTACAATACAATAGGTGAGGACGACAGGTAGGCATGATACTACGTTCTTATACTAGCTGTAACGTATGTGATGTTTTCATATATGTAAAAATTCATTGTCTACGAAGTCGTAACGGACCGACGCAAAATTTGTGTTTCTACCCGGAGTGTTTGAACTTTGCCCATAGCGACCGGCCAGATCTGGTCATTTTCAGCGGTTGATGCCATACTAAACGTAAGCTGAAGACATTGTTGAGTCTCAATGTGATTTTCTAGAGAAAATTTAGCCGTTGCCACGATGTTGTCAAGTTTGATTAACGAGAAATACAATGTACAATGCGTTGCCAGTGGGCGTGGCTGTTCTCAGGGCTATACCTGTAGAAAGAAGGGTGTTTGTGAATATACATTGTGGTGGGAGGAAGACCTTTGTCCTGTGGATCTATATCTGTGTTGAGTCAGTATAAGTCCCCTTCATTGTCACATTGTGAACACTCTAGCTTTGCATGCCTTTGGTTTGAAGTCCCATGGTGGAGAAATATTCATACACATGACTCACACATGGACTGAGGTCATAAGTTAACATTTATTTAGGATTAATAGCACACGGTGAAAGTTAGTAACTTCCTTCAGGCATGAATTGATTCTGTTGTTCCTTTACATTATAGAATTGAACACATGTTTTTAAATTTACTCATTTTTGCAGATACATGTTGTGTGCAATGTATTAAACTTGACAGCTTTCCCAACTTGTTTCTGGTGGCATTCAGCATATTTTAAAGTACCAGTACAGGTCTTGTATTGATGTATCTATGACCAACCATTGTTTCAGACATTGGTGCAACATGCCTCGTGCAGCAAAGAGGAAGGCAGCAGCGACCAAAGGTGGGGACAGTGCCTCCCCCGACCTCAGCAAGATGACAGTGGCCCAGCTGAAACAGGAGTGCACAAAGCAAGGACTGGGCACAGCTGGAACCAAGGCAGTTCTGCTGAAAAGGCTACAGGAAAACACAGGGGCAGGTGAGAGGGTCTTGTTGGTCATGGTACTTTCATACACCGTGTGGAGTGGATTTTAAAAAGTATAAATGGCAAAGTCTAAAAATGGAGGTCATTGTGGCACAGTTAGGCAGTTTCAGCATAGAAACTCTGATACACCTGTTTCCTGATACACCTGTTCCCTGATGCACCTGTTGTTGTTTCACATGTTTTCTGAAACACCTGTTTCCTGATACACCTGTAGCTGATACACCTGTAGCTGACACACCTGAAGCTGATACACCTGCAGCTGATACACCTGTTCTCTATTACACCTGTTCCCTTATACACCTGTTTCCCAACACTCCTGTGTCTTTATAACAGGTGGTAAGAAGGTGAAGACAGAGGACACTGCCCCCACCACAGCCAAGGCTGCAGCTGAGAAACTGAAGAAAGCTGACTCTCCTACTAAGAAGAAAGTGTACAAAGTGGATTCCCCCTGCCCTCTTAATGGGCGTGGACAGGTACCTACAATAGTTTCATTTGTTCTCAATATCAAATCATCCTGTATGTCTTATTGATATATGTAGCCATTAGAAGTTCATAGATATAGGCATTTTTTTTATATTCAAAGTCTTAAGAGAATGTAGTGATAAAACGAAAAAAGGCACAAACACATTGATTAGTTTCGTTGGTTAATCAATAAGATAACATGGTGCATGCATTTGTTTCTCACAAGGAAGCAGGCAATCTTGTTCACCTTCCCAGCCTTTTGGAACATCTTTATTGAGACAAGTTGTGGTCACAATGGCCTTTTCGTTATACACTAGAGCATGGGTGACCAGGTGTGGTTGGCCAAATTCTTGGGGCTCATGCCTTCTGTCCTGTCACAGAATGACCAACGTCTATTCGGCATTACTTTATTATTCATTGATTTTGTCCACCTCAGGTACAGGATGACTATGACTGCATGTTGAACCAGACCAATATTGGGCACAACAACAACAAGTACTACATCATCCAGCTCATAAGGACTGCTGGGGTATCTCCCTATTATGTCTGGAACAGGTGGGGTAGAGTGGTAAGTTTTTGCCTGCAGTTCCATCCAAGTCTAATAGATGACTCTTTTGAGCTGTAAAGATCAGAGTCCATGACTTGATATCTGCCCTATTTTACTTACGACAACATGGTCCCTTCACATCAATCTCTTCAGTTTCCAAAATGAAACTATGTTGGGAAGTACTTTCTAGCATAGTGAGTGAAATACCATTGGATAGACCACGTTGTCTAAAGTCTAGACCTTAGTCAGCAAGATACTAAGTGGTCTTCCCATGCTGGTATAATGGTATTGACTAGCCACTTAGACCTATTGTGAATGAGATATTGAAGAACTTGTTTCTTTACTTTAGACAAAGCCACTTTATTTCCTAATGATGGTGGGGCAAAACTTTTTGAGTCCCTAAGTAGCTGGGCTGTACCACTACAGTCTCGTGATAGGAGTGTCTGGCCCAAATTAGACAGAAGGGTGTTGAGGACCTTGAACACTAACCCATGACCTGTCCTGTGCAGGGAGAGCCAGGCCAGAGTGCCTTAAAGGGCCCGTGGGACTTGGAGACAGCCAAGAAGGATTTCGAGAAGAAATTCAAGGACAAGACAAAGAACGACTGGAGTAAGCGAGGCAGCTTTGTGCCTTTTAAAGGGAAGTACACCCTACTGGAGATGGACACAGAGGAGACAGATGAGGATGAGCAAGATACAGCTGAGAAGGTCAGGAGGAGCCTGTTGTCATGGCCCACTTATGCCTGCCCTCTGTCATGTTTTGTGTGAACTGCAGTTTCCAGTGTAAAATTTATTCCAAAAGCAAAGAGCTGTTTTAGACAAAGCAGGCTACATACTCGCTAAATAATGATTTAGCTGGCAGGGTAACTATAGGTTCAGATTATGTTTTTGTTCGATGTTTTGATGATTATGAGATTTGCTATTTGATGTTTGCAAGAAGACAATAACTCAAAAACTTACCACATGAAAATATTACTGGAAAAATATCTGTTTGTTATTTTCTGTGCACAATTTGAGAGAATAAACCCACACTCTCTGTTTTCCAACATGTAGATTGCCCTTCTGGATCAACTGGATGGCCCATCGAAGAATGTCCTCCCCTCCTCCCTAAACTCTCAAACTCAGAGTCTCATCAAACTCATCTTTGACAATGACATGTTCAAGGAACAAATGGCAAAGATGGAAATAGGTAAAGGATACTCTTTATAGTACATAGTTTTGTAGTTTCTCTTTCTTCTTCTTCTAGTTAAAAAAAGAGGATCTCTTGCTTGTTTTGTCTTTTGTTTAACAGCAAGGCATAATGACATTATGTAATGCACAAAATGGTGTCAGTGTATTATACCTTAGATGTTTTTGTTTGTTACCAGATGTGCGTAAGATGCCACTGGGGAAACTCAGCAAGGCTCAGATTGCCAAGGGTTTTGAGGTCCTGGATGAGATTGAGGAGGTACTGAAGACAGGCAGGACCAGTGGTCTGACTGAGCTGTCCTCGCGGTTCTACACGGTCATCCCGCACGACTTCGGCCGCAGGGTGCCGCCGGTCATCAACGACCAGGAGAAGCTGAGGAAGAAAATGGACATGTTACTGGTGAGGAGTTTCAGCTTTGATGTATTTCTTCTCAGTTTGAAAGATTGCTTATCATCATTTGCCTATTGGCTAGCATAATTCATTAGATTTCAATATTACCTAATGACCAATCATGTTTAAATAAAACCTAAGTATAATCTGGCAATTCTAGGCACTTTTATTTTGTTATGTTCAATGAACTTATACAGCAATGATTGGAGGTCCAATATTTGTGGGGAGTACTGGTCATTTGCCAAAAAGACAGTACAACTATCAACTTCGATTTATATAACTTGGAATTGATAAATTCTCTTGAAACTCTGGATACAGGATAAATAAATGGAAGCACAGACTGGATATATTTCAGCAAATATTTCAGATTGATGTCAGGTGGATATCTTCAGAATCAGAGTGGTCATTTGTGGTCATTTGCTAAAAAGATGTTTTCCATGATCCACAGGTACTGGGTGACATTGAGATTGCCCAGGCCATGCAGAAGGACAAGGACAAAGATGACGGGTCCGAGGCCACGGATGTCAAACATCCTCTGGACTTGAACTACGACCTCTTGAACTGCGGCTTGGAGCTTCTGAAGCCCTCGTCTGAGGAGTTCAAAGTCATCGAGAAGTACACTGAAGCCACCAAGTACTCCGGCTGGAGGGATCCAAAGATTTTGAATGTGTGGAAAGTGGACAGGAGTGGGGAGGTGTGTACTGGTATTCACTTTTTGTTAGAAAAATGTCATTTGTGACAACCTTTTGTGATGACACTACGACTATGGCAATAATGAGGGCCTGCATGCAGGCCCCCAATAATGTATTGCATCCGTAGCTGTTATGCACCTGTCTCAAGAAGCTTTTTAAGCGGAAAGTGTATTATTAACATCTCTTTTACACTTCATAGTCTTACATATACAATTTGTCTTACAAAATGGGAACGTTCCATCCTCAGGGAGATCGTTTCAAAGAGCACGACCATCTTGAGAACAGGAAGCTTCTGTGGCACGGCACAAATGTTGCGGTGGTGGCAGCCATCTTGAAAACCGGTCTGCGCATCATGCCGCACTCTGGCGGCCGTGTTGGGCGAGGAATCTACTTCGCATCGGAAAACAGCAAGTCTGCTGGATATGGTACGTACCAGGATTGTACTTGGTGAATGATCTGTCTTTCTTCCAAGTGGTTTTATCCCAGTATTCATTAAATGTTACTTGAGCAGTAGATTACTAAGTAATTTCATCAGGTTGGTGAATGATTATTAATAAATAGAAAGCTTCTTTATTCACAACCACTTGTTTAACAAGAGCTGATGCTTCGATGACCATTTGTCATTTTCATTATGGCAATTATGACTGGTTCACTGTGCACTGTTCATATCTCACTATATTACTGTATACATGTATTACAAATTGTCAAATACTTAACCATTTCAACTGCATTGTTAGCAATGACACCTAGCTTCAGTGCAAAGTGGACCAGTCAAAATTGTTCTGATGAAGATGACAGACCCTCATCAAAACATCAGCTCTATATTAAACAATTATTTTATTTTGTAAATAAAGAATTTTGTTATTCACTGTATTATTTCTTTTTGAAACAGCTTAAACTGACCTCCATTATTTTTTAATCTCTTCCAGTGGGCTGTGCATCAGGGAATGTCGGGATCATGTTCCTGAATGAAGTAGCTCTGGGAAAGGAGAAACGGATCACCCGAGATGACAGCAGCCTCACCAAAGCTCCCTCAGGGTTCGACTCTGTGGTGGCTGTCGGGCACAGGGAACCAGGTAAATAGCCATATAACACAACAATAGCTAGTCTGACACTTCAGCAGACAAAGTGGATTGGCTTGTTGTGTCATGTCTCTTCCATCTGAGCACTATAAAGAAGAGTAGATTCATTCCCCAAGATAACTTATAATTACCGGTAGCAATATTACTGTTACTGTAGCACGATTCTTGGCTACCTCATTTGTGATACAATGAGAACAACCATAGATGGTGAAATAAAAAAGAACTTATGAAAAAGGAGAAACCTTCCAGCAAGGAGGTTCTTGCTTATCTACCTACAGTTGAGATGTCCAGTGCCACAAATGACCAAATGAAATCACATTGCAAAGTGACGATAGTAAAGCTTGAGAGAGACTGGCTTATTTGTACCATACACGTACATACAAAAGCCTGTAAGCAGCCATAAATTTAAAACACAGGATATGCTTATAGTACAGCTATAGTATAGTTCAGAACCTTTAACTCCATCAGTTCCAACTATAATTCTTTTCTGTACATCAACCTTACACTAGAAACCTTTTTATAAAGTCAAACATATTATTCAGTGTATTTCCAAAGCTTGTCCATACAATTCTTCTGCCTTTCTGACCCACAGACCCCAAGAAGAACACGACCATGAAGCTAGACGGCCGTACTGTGGTGGTTCCGCAGGGACAGCCCATCAACCAGACAGAGGGACAGAGCAGCTCCTTCTCACAGAGTGAGTACCTGGTCTACAAGGAGAACCAGTGTCGCATCCGCTACCTCCTCAAGATGAAATTTGGCAGTTAGGAGGGATCATCTTATTACCTTCGCCAAGAAGGTTATGTTTTCAGAGGCGTTCGTGTATGTGTGTGTGTGTGTGTCTGTAAACACGATAACTTGAGAAGGCCTTGATGGATTGTCTTGATACTTGGTAGGTGGGTAGGTCTTGATGAGACCTCAAAATGATTAGATTTTGGACCCCCTAGCGGCTTGTTATAGTACTGCAGCTGAACTTCCGATTTTGATATCTCATGATCTAGACATGCTAGGGTGATGAAATTTAGATAGTAGGTAGCTCTTGTGCTGGGGAAGAAGTGACCTGAGTTTGGGCCCCCTAGTGGCTTGCTCTGGAACTGCAGGGATATATTCTTGAAAATATTCAAATGGGGATAACTCAAGAACCGGTTGACGGATCGTCATGATTTTTGGTATGTAGGTAGCTTACGTGATGCTTAATATAATTATGTGACAATTATGCAAATATGGATGTAATTTGCATAATTTATGGGGAAATTCTATAAATCAGCTGCATTCCATGATAGGACAATTGAAGCTTGTGACATTGGTAATTGACAACGAGAGAAACACAGGCAGATATTGATTATGTTAATAATGACTTAATTTGCATAATTAATGAGAAAATTTTATAATTATGTAATGATAACTGCCTGGAATTTCATACTTGTGGTATTTGAAAGATAAGTTGAGGTGAACATCATTAAACATAATTTATTCAAATCAGGATCTCATTTGCATAATTTATTAGGAAAAAATAGAATGCATTGTTTGTTAATATAAGACTGTCTTTTGGTTTAGATTATGATAAAATGATATAATTCATGAAAATTAGGTTCCTATTTGTTAAATCAGGGGGAATAATCTAATGTATAATTTGTCAGTCATAAAGATTAACATCATTTGGCGAAGGTATGAGATCGGGGAACTCTAGTTTATGTATGTGTCAGTTTCACCTACAAGTATGTGTTTTTTAGATCTGCAGGTTTTTCAATGTTTTATACTTTTCTACTTACAGCACAGCAAGGTGCAATTTTATGAGATTTTAGATTTATCATTTGATTTTGATGATTTTGATGATGATTTTGCAGAAAATGTACTTTGTTACAGGGTATTTATCACTAATACTATAAAAATAGAATATGGACATTTTAGAATGAGAATTTCATATTTTACGGAATTTAATGATATGATGCTAATAATGAAAGAGATCTTCTTCTTCTTCGTTACTGCCCAGCACTACAGAGTAGTATTATTGGCAGTCGTTACGCAATATTGTTAGTAACAATTGTGCCCGGTACATAAAAAACAAAGGGAAAAACAAGGATAACTGAGAAAGGAACATAAGACAACTGATTTTGTGTGTGCTAAAGACAGGACAAGTGCATTAGTGCGTTAGTAATATTTACATATATACAAGACATGATGGGGTGACTCAATGCAGCAGGGTCCTCGCCAGTTCAGATTTGAACTGGGCGAGAGACCCCGCCTCCACCGCACCAGGCTCAAGTTCGTTCCATTCCCTGATGGTACGGGGGAAGAACGAGAGCCTGTAGAAGTTGGTTCTGCTCGCGATGGCCTGCAATGTTTGAGTGTGATTGATGCGGCGGGAGCATCGAGCCACCGGGACAATCCTGGTTGAGTGTGGGACGGAGACAGCATTATGTATAATCTTATAAAACATGAGATTATTCAGAATTATATGGAGAAAATATAGCTGCTATACTTACTATTATTAGAAAGGTGGAAGTAAATAGTTTTCTGTTTATACATTGTACTATGAAATGTAAGTTGTCGTGAAGAATGGCATGTGAACACTACATCCTGTATGTAACGTTATGTCATTTAACAATCTTGTATACAAAAAATGTCACGCGATAGCCAATTTCAACTGTCAAAACTATGCAGGTTTTTCTTGTCAAATATTTCAGGAGGTTGCTGTAATAAGTTAATCTTTTTATTGGTTTACTCTATTATGGTTCACAAAAAAAATGTCTATTTTACAGAACAAGAGACAAATTTTAGTAAAAACTTATTGCACATTTTATGCGAGAGATCATGATATCAAATCAGAATATTGAAACTAAATTTGTGTTTTTGAACTTGAAGTGCAATATCATTTGGTCTGAAACAGTTGAAAAACACACTGAACATTGGGAACTTTGTCATATGTACATGTAAAGGACAGCGTTTTTGTCATGGATATTTGTTCAATACATTCCATGCTATAAGCTTAACAGGTGCAATATTCCTGCTGTTACCAGCTCACCAAATATGCATGTAGGAACTTCCACATTTGTCTATCTGTAAAATCATAAGTTTAGTTGACTGGGTTGTAATATTCACCAGAAATTAATCAAAATTGAGACTTCAAATATATGGAATGTCCGTTTTAGCCCCAACAGTGTCTGTATGTGATTACCTTATTTATCCCTAGAACACGATGATGATGTCGATGATGTGAGTTTATTGTTGTTGTCAACAGATTTTAATATTCTTGTATAATGCTTTATCGTAAATGCTGATGATATTTTAAATGAATTGTTTTTTTATAAATGTACTGTAGAATCAGTGCAATTTAGTCTTGATGACTACAAAGTTGATTGCACAACAATGTTGGAAAGTTTGACCTGTTAAACACATGGTATCTTTGCTTTATCAGTCCCATCTGTGGTCTGTAGAACCCACCTGAGATAGACACACTCACACAGATGATTCAAGGTCGTTGTCACTCCTGTTAATCCTACTATAATCCACAGTGGGCAGATGTCGCTTCAACAGACCAAACGACTTGTTGGACTTCATTCACAGAGAGGAAAAGAGTGTCTTCCTGCAGACATGTCCTTATCTATTGTTAAGTCTAGGAGACCGATTTCTGACAGAAACCCTGTTAAAGCTGGGCAAAAGGCCAACGTACATTTTGCGGCTATATACCCCAAAATCTTGCTGCAGAAATATCACGGAAACTTCGTGCCACAAAACACGGAGGGAACCAACCAAACAAAAACAACAATCATGATATTATTCAAATTTTAAAGCTCTAAGATTTACCTGGCCACACAATGGACCCGTTAGTTTTGGTTCCTTAAAAGTTTTTGACAGATAAAGGTGGAAAACAATGAGTGACATTTGTATCAGTGAGCCAGACAGAGGATTTTGTGGGAGCCGTCCCAAAACGCAAAAGATAAAATCCTGATAGAGATCGTACACTATACAATACGCTACACAAAGCAGACCTGGCAGATGTGTGGCTTTTGTTGGATTAAGGCGCTAGCGAAAACGGTTTCACAGTTACATTTGTACAAAGAGTATGCTTACGTGGTAGGATGTCTGCACTTCTTCAACTTCTGCAAACACACTTGGAGTACAAAAGATCATTTTCCTGATGTTGAGAATAAGAGAAATCCGGAAAACAATAACTCATCCGTAAATTTCCGCACCCTTTCACAGAAGGACTTAATGCTTTTATGTATGATCTTGGTAGACTAATGCTTCATGTTGAAGCAGAGATGGTATTCTTTTAAAAAACGTTGTACGAAAGAATACAAAGATAGAGAACAACAGCAAAACCTAAACGGGAATTATAGATCTGCGACTAGAAAGTCCATGACAGATCAGTTATTCGTGGTCCTTAATAACATTACGAAACGTACCATATTTTTCGAAGACGTTTGATTTGAGATTGCCGTTGATTGACCAAACACTCGTTTTGAATTACCTAACCCACAGTGTACCTAACCTGAACGGGAGCCTAAAAGGTCCTTAATTTTTTTTTCAGGCTAGAAAAACTCAACTTAGAAAAACCATTCGGTCTTAGCGTCCTTCACAATTGGCAAAGCACCTCGCGTTCCTTGATCGGGCACGACAAGTTTGTGGCTTTGTTTTGGCTGTGGGAACCAGTTGTGTCCCTACATACACCCCTCGGCAGTTCAGTAGGCAGGACAGAGAATGAAGGCTTAATCCAGCCTGATCCCTCCGTGCCTGATACCCGGTCCAACCGAGCGCTAAAAGCACTAAACAGGAGCGCGCCTGTCGTTTGTTTACCGAACCTGTCGTGAGACGATGATTGAACGTCAGGTAAGAACATCACTGACACGTATATAAACATGCACCGCCCAGGCCATTAGGGTTCTATTGCAATCCACCCTCCCCTACTTAAGGATTGAGGTGTTCAAAAACTCATTCTTTCCTAGAACTATGGCCCGTGGAGCTCGCTGTCAGCAACTACAGTAGGGGCATTATCATTAGATAGCTTTAAACAATGTTCAGAGTTAGATGTTCAAGGGTTAGGTGTGACAAGTCGATCGGTGTAATGTAGCAATCTGCCGCCGCGCCGCGTGCCTGACAAGCGGGTGTGTTACGCCGAAGGGCGATACAGATACAGATCTTCGCGACATTCTCAGTATGTATGTAACAGGGATTGTGAACCAGATTTAATCTACTAGTCTTATCATGTAAGTATAGACTCGCACGAAGCTCGTATTGCTACAACGATCTCCAAAAAGCTGTACAATTTGTTGAGACATGACTGCTGGATCTGATATCATTAATGACATAAAAGACATTTTAGCACCATTTCAATTTTCCTTCGTATTTGGAATTGTAATTGCCGCCGTTGTCAAAATTTTCCGTGTCAGGATTTATGCCAACAGTCTCTCATCTTATTCACGGCATTAGCCATGATTAGCTCTCTGACATTGACATTGGCTTTGATCACATGAAGTGATTCTTAAGTGCACTTGAGACAGGCGGAGAAAGAAAGGCATGATAATATCACACCTCGCGTGCAGTAACGTTAGTATCACCTCATAGACCGGGACCCCCGGGATGTGAGGGCCGTGGTCTGCTCTTCTTCAGCCTGACGTCCCTTCACTGTTACTGCATTCTGTACGTCCGCGTGCTTACTACAGTTATGTAAGGACTTGGTAGCTGATACATTTCCTTTGATATTTTAACCTGAAAGGTATCCAATGCGATTTCAGAGCAACAAAACTCGAAATATTCTGAATAAGGCAATCTTTATGATATTGACGCATACTGCTTCACTTAGCACATTTCAATCAGTATTTGGGTTATTAAAACTGCAGAAACAAGCCCCAAGATGAGCCCTTTATTTTATGGGTGGTACCCTAAAATTAGCCAAGGGCTCTTTTAGTAACTATTTTCTGTCAGAATTCTGGTTATTTTTGCTCCAGGAGGGTCAATATACATTGGGATCGTATTGTTTCAACTCAGTATGTAGATAGGTGACTAGAATATTGACTTTGAAAATTCGGGTTGCCAAGCCCTAAAACTGCACTGGATGCCTTTAAGATGTGAACAAAAACGCAAGATTTTTTATCTTGTATGAAATATTATCTATCTGGATGCCACAAACTTTATGAATGTTCATGGTCTGTTTGATATCTTACTGCTGGCCCATGAGTGAATCTAGTACTGTGTTAACCACTGGATCGAGCTGCGACTTTTCAACGGGATCCTGTGGGGTCTTGTCAGATTATTGTATCTCTTTGTCATAAACAAACAAGAAAACTGTCAGACAAAGCAGACGGCTTCAATCACAACAAACGGAAATAAAGGGGCGCGTTTTTCCTTAAGCCTTCTAATTGATCTCGTGATGACTTCATCCAGATTTCAACCTTTCAGTTAGAAAAAAAAAACAAAAGAGGGCCGTTGGCACTTTCTGTAATTCCTGATTTTTTTCACGGTACTGGTATGTTCACTGTTTTTACTGTCACCTCTGTACAGTGAACTTATCATTACAGTTAACAAATAATTCATGGACTTTCTTTTTCGGGCACCTGTTGCCACCGTGAATATATAGTTCCGTGAACATGTCCATTTTTCTCAGACCGTGAACTTTTGCTACCGTGAACATAATCAGTACTAGTATTATCAATTGCAACACTTCGCAAGGTTTAATCGTAAGTTTGTAAAATGACAACACAATTCAGACGTACATGTTCATTGTACTCCTGCCAGGTTGATTTTTGTATTAAAATTGAAAATGAATTGATAAAAAAGTAGAGAAAAGGAGAGGAACAAGTGATAGAGAAGAAAATGGAGACAGTTTTTAGATGTATTGATGAAATCAACAATTCGCGGATGATGTTGACATCAGACTAGTAGCTGTAGTGTAGGGCATATACATGTAGGACTACGGGAAACATGCATGGAAACGAATGTTACAAAGGATGTTTAGCAGG